GTTTTACTTGCATGTAGTGTATTCTCCCCCATACTCCCCATGGGAAACTGTTCCTCTCTCTTCATCTCTCAATACACAAGTATGACTTTGTTAGAAAGACCACAAGAAAGACTTTGACCATGCAACTGTTTATCTTGGATTTCATGTCTAGATTTGGCTATATTTAGAAAAGCTAAAACCTTCATTATGCAAAAAAAAACCAGGAAGAAGACACCATTCACAAACCACCCCCTGAAAATCTGCAGATGCAACTAAAAAACCAGACTTCCAGCAGGCAAAGACATCTGAAGTGGGAGGGATCAAACTGGTGTTTGCGTCATGAGAAGACCTGAGGTGCTTATAATTAACCCCTTGCCTAGCACGAAAACGCCCTACGACCTTATTTCCTTTTCTTTTCTTTCCAATATACCTTTGGCCAAACATGCTCACTATCTCCCCTGTCCTGTAATATTGGTCATCTCACCCCCTTTCCTGCTTCTGCTTCAAGCTTCTTGCCACTCTTCAAATCCTTCAGACACTAGCCAGTCTCGAAGGTCTCTTCATCAGCACCATCAGGTCTGTTCACCTGGTGTCTAACTAGTCCAGCAGGGGTTCACATTTGAAGTTTCTCATTTGGGAAGTGAAGGCATATGGTTATTTCTAGCTGGGAAAAGGGGAAGATCAGCATAGGGTTGAGACATAGAGAGGAACATACTGGCACTATTCAAAAAGCCAAGGGCTACTGTAGAAAGTTAGTATCAAACATAACCAGGGAGCAAACACAAAAGAATTTCATTCTACCATCCCAAGTCCTACTTTCATTGATTCTAGAAGGTAAACTTACACTAACTAAAATGGAAACAATAGACCAGTCAGTATTCCTGGAAACCAACAAACTGCTTCACCACTCTATAGACCTTTACGTATGTTATTCTCTCTGCTTAGAAGGCCTCGGTGATACTCATCTAGAACATCTAGGCAATTTCCATTCCTGTTCAAACTAACACTTCATCTACAAACTCCCACCCCCAGGCTCTTTCTATCATCTCATGACATCATTAAACTTCTACTATACATCAAGGGCCATGCTAAGAGTTAGATATTTTAGAGATTTAAGATAAGTTTTAAAGTGCTCTTTAAGAGCTAGATCCAAGACCCATTTATCTTAGTATCCCTAGAGCCTAGTACAGTGCCTGCCACAAGACAACACTAATAAATGTTTACTAAATTAATACATGTATGCATCACATTGATGCCACGAATAATTATAATGATATGCCTGCTAGGTATATGTGTCTATTTGAGTGTATGTGTAATTAAAGTGGCTTCACACACATTTTTTAGTTTCACTTAAGTCATCAATTTACTGACTGAAAACTAATTCAGTAGTTCTCATTAGCCCTACAGCTGAATTCCTGTAGTATGAGAAAACGGTTCTAAAGGGCTATCTGCTCCACTTTATATAGAATCAAGACAGTTCTGAAATTCTGTCTTGGGCAAAGCAGATAGTCAACAAAATTATTTATTATTTAAAACTAAGGTCTCAGAAAGTTAATGGGGTAAGATAAAAAGCATAGCTTTTTAGTTCTTCTTGGAACGTTGCTCCAATCGTCCCTGTGAACTCATTCCGGAAGATTAAACCAAATCTCTTGACATCACATGCCCATTGTCTCAGACATGATTTAGCATCTCATCATGGCATCTTTACTAAAGAGGAAAAGAGAAAATATCCTCCCCTGCCTAAAATTAGCCACATTTCTGAGCTCATGACTAAGAGCCGTCACTTCCCAAATGAGGGGGCTTCACAAAGAAGCCCCTGCTGGATCAGTTAGAAAAATCAGGTGAACAGAGCTGATGCTGCTGATGGAGAAATGGCAGACCAGGTATGCCTCTGTTCTGATCCTTGGGGTCTTGCACTTCCTTACTAGAAAGCAAACCCACATCAGAGAATAAGAGATAATCAGTGCGATGTGATAGTAACAGGATCTGAGTTTGGAGCCTACCACATGATCCTCCCTGAAACTGTCTGGTCACTACCAGGAGTACTTGAGGTGCAACTCTCATCATACTTAGACAACCCTGGGGCTGGTAGCTAGGTCAACACCTGGAGACTCTAACAGATCCAGGAAAGAGCATGGTTAGCCTAAAACATCTGATAATGCTTTAAGGAGCTGGTTTGGTCTCTGCAAAGAACATCTGCTCCATCCACAATAAAGGAGAGGAACTGCTGCATGTTGTTGCAGCCGATTTCACATTGCCCCACTCACCCTTAACTATACATGTAAAAGTTGCTGGAAAATAGCTAATGTTTACTGAATACCAGAAAAACATTAAATAATTTCTACACATTGCCTCATTCAGTCCCCAAGTCCAGCCTACATGGCAGTGGTTCTCCTACTTCAGTTTGCCAGATTCTCTCGAGAAACTGATTAAGAACCCATACCCATGGTTTATAGAGTGAGGTCTGAAATGTGCATTTCTAGCAAGCTTCCAGATGATGGTGATGCTCCTGAACCAGGCTCCACACTTTGAGAACCACTGTCATGGGGACACAGCTTCGAGAGAGATTTGAAATGTCTCATTCAAGGTTTCACAGCTACCAAGAAGAGAACCAGAATTTGAACTCCCTGACTGTAGAGACAATTCTGGTAACCGTGTTACTGTATATGAGTGAATGTTTGTCTTCATAAATTCGCCTACAGTTCTTTAAGGCAGACATCACACTTTAGACCCTCTTATGTCCCTCTTAGAACCCAGTAGTATATGTGTACTTGGTAGGTGCTACATAAATACCAGCTATACTGGTACATATACATAGCTATACTCCTACGAGTCACCTATTCAAACTCAGTTATAGTCAAAGAACATAAAGAGAGCAACACTACCAAACCTAGTTTTATAGGAGACTCTCTCTTGCTACAATGCGTCTCTGTCCATCCTGTCACTACACCTGGAAAACGCCTACTCATTCTCAGGTCATTTCCTGCAGAAAGCAATTCTTGGCTCTCCAAAATTGGGGGTCACAACACCCTAAGGTTATCTCCAAGACAATACAGTCTATTATACCTGGCTGTTTGTCATCTCTCCGAGTAGTCTGTAAATTCCAGCTTCGAGTTTAATACCATATACCCAGAGGTTAGCACAATGCCTGGAACATCATAGATCTCCAATACTATTTATTGAATGAATGAATGTGGAGCTGCAAATCCTAAACTGCACTTCAAAATATAGCAACATACGATGTACAGTTCTGAGAGACGAATTCTAGGCAAGAGGGCATCTTAGATAATAACAAAGATCAATTCCTTTTCTCTTCCTCATTACTCGACTCTGAGAAAAGACTCAGAGTAGTTAAGGTAGAAAGCGCCACCTAAAATGAGACAACATCCAAGCTAAACAAAATGCGCCTGGTTTATAAGGTCAGCAGAGACCATTCAGAGGAGGGAAACCCCTATCTCTCCTGTTTACTCTCACACACATTCCTCCAACCCACTGCAGTCAAGGGTTTTGGCACTGGGATGAAACAGACAGATAGATCAGACTCAAGGGTGCGGATCTGGCAGTGGGCACAGAAGCATCCCCATCCTGCACCAAAGCCCACAATGAAGGATCCAGAGGGACAGTGACTCAGGCCTCGGATTAAGTCCAGCCAGAGCAGTACTGAGAATAGAAAAGAGCAACAATTTCACAAGGACATGTCATAGCTTTTTAAAACCAATGTCTTTAAAGTAACAGCTTCAACCCTAACCCCAGAAAACCGAGCCCCCACTGAATCCAGTGCTTATTATACAAGCTGAGAGTCAAACACAGATTCTTCTTCTTCCCAGTACACTCTCACCTGCAATATTCACCATAACAGGTATTTCCCAGGTCCAGGTCAGGACCATGTTTTCAACCTCAGTTTGCAAAATGCTTCTGCTCCAGCTTATAAACTGTTCAACCACCATGTTGCAATAATAGAGGCCTCCCCCTTCCTCCATCCCCTCAGTCCATAACACAACCTACAGCAGGTTGGCCCCATCCAATTAGTTTGAATAGCTTCATGCCAAGGAAATTGCTGCTTTTATTAAAAATAAAAGCACACTAGGCAGGCAATGAGCTGTGAAAAGTATGAGTCTAGCATAATTATGAAGGTCGAGGTTAAGGTTACAAAAAGAGATATGCAAAGATTTCCAGAAAGCCTGGGGGATCAAGATATGTATCTACATAGCTACAGATACATAAATGAACACACACTAGGAATTTACACAGCAGATCTAAATAACATCCTCTCCAATAGAGGAAAAACAAATCCGATACCTTTCTTAAGTAATTCATTTGGCTAAAAAAAAGTAAAATAAATAAAAACTGAAACAGGAGGAAGATGGGCCTACTAGACTGACTTCAAAATAACCACATTCATTTCCTATAATTTCTGTTATCTTTGCTATACCCTGGGGACCTGATTACAGTCACCTTAGGAAACAAACCGAGTCATATCCACCAAGACACTTGGATCTTAGAAAAACACATTCCCAGTTCTCAAAAAATCCTCTTCCTTCAAAGCCTGCTCATGTAAGTGAAAAAGTTGGGTAGGAGGAAGGAAAAAAAACCTCTCTTCCTTGCAGCTCCTCCATCCCCACCCTTCAGCCTCACATCAATATTTCAAGTTTTAGGAGGATGACAAGCCCACCACCCTGCATTTGATGTGAAGCCTTACACTTTCACTCCTACGTTTTCTCCTCTGATCTTCATAATTTGCTGAGGGAGACAAGAATTGGCTTGTCAAAAAAAAATTTTTTTTTTCCCAATAAAAGGCCACTGAGGTAAAAACAATTTTTGGCAACCTCTCCCAAGCCCATAAGTCCTGTCACTTTAAAATCTGTTTTAAATTTCTCAAGGACAATGATTCACAGGGCAAGGGAAGGGGGAAGGGAGGGTAACTGGTCAAAATCATTCATACATTCAACAACTAGAAACCAGAGTCTTGCTGCATCAGCACAAGATTTAATTTACGGCGCACTGAAAGAGTCCCACCATACCTTCTGCCAACACCTCGTCCACCGTGACCTGCTGCCGCCCGATGCCAAAGACCCTTCCGATGTAGCCACTGCCCAGGCCTGAAGTGCTGCCCCCTCCTCCGCTGGAGCCGGAGCCCAGGCCAGAGCCGCCCTGCTCTCGCCGGGAGTCAAAAAACTTCTTCATCTTGAGAATAGGAAGCAGAAAAACAAAATACCGGCGGTTTCTGGATTTTTATTTTTCCTAAGAAAACAAGAGATCCAAGGATTTCTCGGATTTCAGCGCCGAGAGGAGCCACCCGAATCCGACCGTGGGGGTGGGGGCTGACGGAGGATGCCTATAGGAATATGCGTGTCAATCGCGCGGCGGTCCCCTCCTCCTCCTCTAGAGAGCGATTCGTGTAAGTTTAAACCTGTGATGACAGAGGGAGAGAGAGAGGATGAATCAGTAACACACTTAAACATTCAACTGCTGAGTCCTAGGGGGAGCAAAAGCCATCACCCTGGGGAAATGCTTCATGCATTTTCTTGGCGAGAAAACCATGGGGCTGAAAATGCGTCCCCGGTCCCAGAACCCAGGCTCCCCAGCTCAGAAAAAGGAAGGATTCGGGCCGCCTTGGGCAGCGTCAACCCTGCCCAGCGCTGCCTCCCCCACCTCCTTGGTCTCCCCGCCGCCCAGCGAGGCAGCATCCCAGAGGCACCCACTTGAGACGGCTCGGCAGCCGGCGCCCAGCTACCAGCCTCGCAACATTGTCACGACCGCCCAGCCGGCCAGCTACGCGGAGAGGAGGCGGCGCTGCAGCGAGAGCCAGGGCGGCATTCGGCGCCCGCCCGCCCGCCAGCTGATCCCCAGAGCGCCTGGCGGAGACTGACCCGCCGCCCCTCCCCCGCGCGCGCACCCGCCCGGCTCCATCCACCCAACCAGGAAGTGAACCGCCGCCGGAAGTGCCCGTCGGGGCGGCGCAGCGAGGGGCCGGGGCCCTCCTGCGGCCGCCTCTCTGTCGCGACGGACTGGAAAGAGTGGTCGGAGAGAAGGGGGACCGGGCAAAGAGGTCTCTGTGCCCAGAGAATTTTGGAAAAGAATGTTGCTATCGCCCGGCCCGCAGGGCATTCTGGGAAAAGTAGTTTGTTGCAGCTGGGTGGCTGGACTACAATTCCCAGATGCCCGCGGAGGGGTGAGCATTGCGGTGCAATGGCCTCTCATTAAAGGTGGTTGTGGTGTGGTGCGTTTATGCGTTTGTGGGGATTCGGTTATTTAAACACATCCGGTAAAGATGTGTTTAGGGACTCGGGTTTCCACTCTTCTGTATGTTCCACCCTTCTAGAGCCATCATATTTGTGTTTGACCTCCTAGTCCTAGGGGTTCTGGGGTTTGTGGTTTACGAACGGATCGAGGCTGACACCTGAAGGACGCGTCTTAACAGCTTAGTCTCCAGCGGGTCCTGGGGGGGGGGGGGGGGGCTTAGCAAAGTCACCTGCGCAGGAGGTGCAAGACTGAAGGTGATCAGGAAAATTTGGGCGGCAGTTAATAGACCACGCCCGAAAGGCCAACCCTAAAGTAAAACCGTTGCCTTTCTGCCCCTACTTCAAGAGCTGTATTTACTTTCAGACTTTATTTTGAGAGCCGGCTCAGCGGCCAGCTCTAGGCTAGTGCTGTGAAACCGCTTACTAAAATTGTGTCTTGTATGAGAATCCACCCGCGATCCTCAAACCGAGGAACTTAAAGGGTGTGTGCAGGAAAAATCTTTGGGTACCGGGAAATCCGCCCGGTTGGCTCCCCCCCAAATTTTGGGGTTGCTCTCTTGACAATGACCCTTAATTCTTACATCTTTGCTGATGCCATTAGTAGCCTGATCTTCATTAACTCCTTTTCCACCTTCTGTTACTTCTTTTTCACTTCAAGATTACCTCCTTGATACTTACTTTAACCTGATAGTCCCTGCATGCTGAAAGTGGTAATGAACAATGTGATTTCCATATGCCCAGTGCAATAGGTTTGATTGATATACTTCATCCCTAGATAACCTGATGGATGATGCTGAAGATAGCACCAAGTCCCTGTCACATATCCCCCAAATCACGATTTTTTTAAACCTCCACCCTCCCTGATAACTAATTTTGTGACAGCCCTCTTGGCTTGGCTTGGGCGGAGGAGGCCTGAACTTCCTGTGTAGGTGTGTAAGCACAGCATCTTTTCTTCTAGAGGGCGTCAATATTGTCACCTCAGTTCACAAATTCACACAGCCACCTCCGGGGTCGTTGCAGCACCTGCATTCCCTCAAAGCAAGCCCACAGAGGCATATTCTCTGTATTTTCCCTAAAAGGATAGATTTTATCTAAGGAAGTTAGAAACCTAAAAATAGAAGAGAAAGCTCATTTGGAATTAGATTCACTGACCCCAGTCTCTAAAGATGGCCTATTGGGCCCTCAACTGTTACCATCTCAGTTTTTATTTTTCTAGACTTTCCTGATGCTAAAGTAGGCCAAATTTACACAACTCCCAAGTTTCATTCTGAGGTGCCAAAACTTGTTTTTATTCATTAGGGAACAATGTAGCTAAGGTATTTATCAAATACCCAACTGAATACTTTGATCAGAATCTGAGGAGGATTCTGAAAAAAAAAAAAAAATGTCTTTCCATTCTCTCAAAGACTAATAATTTATAATGTCAAAACTTACATTTTTTAATGGTTTGCATATATTATGTAATTTAATCCTTCCAATGACCCTATGAAGTAAAGTGCTATTGTTATACTCATTTTATACATGAGAAAACTGATTTACTGTGCATCTTCCATATGCCATTTGCTGTATTAAGCACTTAATATATTATCTTGTTTAATCCTCCTGAACGCATCTCTGCAAAGTAGCTATCACTGCCTAATATGTCAAAGCAGATATTATATTATTATCCCCAATTTATAGATGAACAGTGAAGACTTTATTCGTAGTAGAGGGATCCATGATTTGTTAGGTTTGGAGGAAATGATCTGACCAGTGGTGTCTAAATCGTGTCACAATAAGCCGTGGTATGGCATATGTGTGTGTGTTTGCGTCTTTAAAAGAAATCAAAGAGAAGGGAATCAACATTAATTAATGACCTTAAGGAAGGTGGCACTGCCTTGGAGATTTAACAGTCACAATACACTTATGAGGTACCCATTACTTTATTGATGTGGAACAGGCTGAGCGAGGCTCAAGTATGTCAACTATTGCTACACACCTTGCACAGGGCAGACTAGAATCAGAACCTGATTGACCTCAAAACCCACATCATTTTCACTATACCTCATAGCCATCCTATGTTGCCATTTTTAAACCCTGTGGTATTAATTAGAAATGCAAATTGCCATATTCAGTGCAGACCTACCAAATAGGAGAAAGGGGCAGAGGAAACAATTTCTTTTAGCCCACCATCTAGGTGATACTTTCTTTTTTCTTTTTTTTTTTTAACAGAAAGATACTATTTTGTCTGGCAGTATGGCCTGACATCCAGTCTCAGAACTTCCGGAATTGCTTCTTGGTTCACATGGCCTTGATGACCTTGAATACACTAAAGCACAGTTTTGCTCAGAGCCATCATTTGCCACTGTGACAGTGTCACTCCTCTGTATGTCCCCAAAGCTGGTACATGGGCAAGTTCAAGTTCATGTGGGACTTCACAAAGCAGTTGTACTTTCAGGTGTAGTGGAGGTAGATAGTCTCTGCAGATGACAATGGTCTCTGCAACTTCATCTTGGTCACAATACCAGACAGGATTTGCCCAAATATAGAGACAATGTAGTTGTTCTTCATAGCTTCATTGGGTGACTTGAAACCTAGAACACTGTTCTTGCACATTTCTTCATGCTGGACCCTCTTATTATTTGAAAGATGGTCACCTGCTTTTGGTAGACACAGTCTTACCAGTGAATGACTGTCATCTTCCCAGGCCAAAAAATAAATAAATTCCTATTGCTTCTGATAACATTCTGAATTTGAGAACCTGTTTAACAGAAGGGAAGTTGTAGCAAGTCTTTCCTTTCTTCAAAAAGAAAAATTTTTGTTTTCTAGTTAGAAAAGTAATTATACAATTTTTGAAGAAAGTATAAAGAATAAAAATTGCATCAGGATAAAAATAACTCATAATTGCTATTGAAATTTTGGTCAATTCCCCTTAGAATTCTTTTCAATTATAAATACAGTATAGTTTTGTTTTTTTACTTATATATACCAGATTAAATCACATAGTATATTTGGTACATTCCTCTTTTCACTCAATATATTCCCACTTCAATACATATTCTTCAAAATAATGTTTTTGATGTTTAATAATCAGTTCTTTACTGTTGAATATCTTATTGTTTTACTTAAAAATTTTACTGAAACACTTTGTGATTAGGAATAATATCCTTATGAATGCTTCTTTGATTTTTTTCTGAATGCTAATTTTTTTTTATAAATGCAAATAACTGAGTTAAAGGTATGAGTGTTTTACAATTAGAGAAAAGTATCCAGGAAAGACACTGATTTGCTCTCCACTCAATGATTTCATTAGCAATACTAAGCATCTACCATGGGCTAAACACAAGGTTTATTACATGAACAAAATAAATATACCCCTTGCCCTCAATGAGTTTTTCATCTTAAAAGAAAACATTTAAGGGCCCTCCCTGATGGCGCAGCAAAGCACAGCACTAAGAAGCTTAAGCCACTTCTGCATGATTTCCGCCTGCCCCCTAGAGATCCACATGGAGTGGCAGACCTCTCCTGACGCGCCCGCTGCTCCCCTCAACAGTGTACTTCATGGATCTACCTGTTCTGCTCCCCGCTCTTCTGTCCCTGGTGAATCCTCTCACCTTCCGCATCTCTGGCCTGTACCCCAGTTCTATATGAATAAATAAATAAATCTTTAAAAAAAAAAGGCATTTAATCCAAGATAGTTATGAGCATCCCCTTGTAAACAATGAGTTTGTGCAATTTAATAAGAAACCTATCCTATTTTGACAGGAGAGATGGTGTTTACAGCTTTCATTATCATTGCATAAATTAATGAAATTGAACACTTTCTTTTTAACTAAGCTAGATGTGGACCTGAGGCTCTATCCTTGACTTGCTTGGTCCAGTTTTAGCAAGAATCCTAATGCGTCAATTAAAGCTCACCAGTCTCTCTTGTTATTAACTGACCAACCTTGCTATTTGATCAATTTCTTCACCTTTGCCCTCACCTTATCACTACAGCCTGCTTTCAGAAAAACCCCATTGAGTTCATCTATCATGAATCCCTCTAGCTTTGATGTTTCTTCTTAGTAATTTCTTCATCCACTGACTCCCACCCCTTTTTTTTGCTTATAAATTTTCATTTTTCCTGGTTGTACTTAAGCTGCATCACTGCCTGATTGTGGTCATTGGATAAAATCTTCCCTAATATCTTTAATAAGGTAATGAGCAATTTTTAATTAAACATCATGTTCATTTATGCATTAGTTATTAAGTAACTATTACATGCTAAAATGATGTGAGGAGCTGGAAATTAATAATAAATAATGTAGATATATTCCTTTCATTACAGTTTAGAATCTAGTACTTACTGGATATGTGCATTCACTTTAAAATCACATCCTTTTTCCATTTTTTGATTTCCACATTTAAGAATTGATTGGAAAGTGCTCTTTCACTTATTCAGTCAGTATATATAAACACCTCCAAAGTTAGGCACTGTTCTGGGCACAGAGAATAGGGTGCAGAACAAGATAGACAAGGTTTCTTCTTGAAAGAAAGCTTACATTGAGGTCAGGGTGAAAATACAATTAATAAACAAGTCAAGAGAGATGTGAGATAGTAACAAATGCTATGCAGATAATTACCCAACTGAGTGACTACTTTTGATTGGATGTTCAACTTTTTATATATTAGTGGCAGTAGTTAAAGCCAATGTCTGATAAATGGAAAATCCCTTTTTCCAATTTAAACCTAGCCTTTTAAAATTTTTGATGAAGGATTACTGTGATAGCTTTTTTCTTAGTATGATAATATATAATTGTTTTATAAAATTTGGAAATACAGCGATTGTAAAAATCAGTTGATAGCATTCATTACTCTTAAGTCAACCCTACAGTGGTTAGATGGGTACTCTTCCTATCATTTTCAGTATGCATATGTATTTACCTACTTACATGTGTGTGTAGTTTCAGTTGATAAAGAATATATTATATTACAACCATCTTTCTCTTCTATGT